GGCGAGGGGCTGCCCGCGGATGACGGGGCTTCTCCCCGCTCCCCTCGCTTGCAGGAACGCGCTGATGTTCAATAACGAGCTCATGGCCGACGTTCACTTCGTCGTGGGCCCGCCGGGGGCGTCCAAGAAAGTTCCTGCCCATAAGGTTGGTGTGGATGGTTTTTTGGGGGGGCTCTTGGGACTGCCGTGCGTCTCGCCTTCTCCCCCTGCCTTGCCACTGGGCTCCTTTTTTCTTTCCTCATTACGGCCTTCGTCTAATCCCAGAAGTAGTTCCCGTACAGTGCACTGAGAGGGAGCCGTCCAAGGCAGCCCTCTGCCTCCACTGCAGCTTTCAACTTTCCCCAAGCGTAGCTCTTGCCGAAAGCCCGCAGGCTCAGCTGTGACCGAGGCTTCTCTCTCTTTATTTTCCAGTATGTTTTGGCAGTGGGCAGCTCTGTCTTCTACGCTATGTTTTACGGCGATCTCGCAGAGGTCAAATCTGAAATCCATATACCAGATGTGGAACCTGCAGCCTTTCTAATCCTATTAAAGTAAGTGGCCACTACGAGTACTAATTACGTGGACAGAATCAAAGTAGCTTATAAAATATACATCTCCTAATTGGCATTGTGCAATATGCACTTATTACTGTTTACTTAATGTGCTGACAAATGCTGGATGTCAGATTCACTGCCAGCAAAGATGACTATAGATCTATGTTTCGTGGCCCCGATTTCTTTTTTTCCCCTAAGAAACTATATTTTTTCCCCCATCTAGATACATGTACAGTGACGAAATAGACCTGGAAGCTGACACAGTTCTGGCTACGCTGTATGCTGCCAAGAAGTACATCGTGCCGGCCCTAGCAAAGGCTTGCGTCAATTTTCTGGAGACCAGTTTAGAAGCGAAGAACGCTTGTGTCCTGCTGTCTCAGAGCAGGCTCTTCGAGGAGCCAGAGCTGACGCAGCGCTGCTGGGAAGTGATTGATGCGCAGGCAGAAATGGCACTGAAGTCGGAGGGCTTCTGTGAGATCGATCAACAAACGCTGGAGATCATTGTAACCCGGGAAGCGCTCAACACCAAGGAAGTGGTAGTTTTCGAGGCTGTCCTCAACTGGGCAGAGGCGGAATGCAAAAGGCAAGGGCTGCCGGTTACGCCGCGCAACAAGAGGAACGTATTAGGAAAAGCTTTGTACTTGGTGCGGATTCCAACCATGACTTTGGAAGAGTTTGCCAACGGAGCTGCCCAGTCTGACATCCTCACCCTTGAGGAAACTCACAACATATTCCTATGGTACACAGCTGCGAATAAACCCAAACTGGAGTTTCCGCTGACAAAAAGGAAAGGACTTGTACCTCAGCGATGCCATCGGTTTCAGTCGTCTGCATACCGCAGCAATCAGTGGAGGTACCGAGGGCGGTGTGACAGTATTCAGTTTGCTGTAGACAAACGGATATTTATAGCAGGACTGGGATTGTATGGGTCGAGCTGTGGCAAAGCTGAATACAGCGTCAAAATCGAACTGAAGCGCTTGGGAGCTGTCCTTGCTCAAAATCTGACAAAGTTTACCTCTGACGGCTCCAGTAACACTTTCTCTGTGTGGTTTGAGCACCCTGTGCAGGTTGAGCAAGACACGTTTTACAATGTAAGCGCTATTCTCGATGGTAACGAACTCAGTTACTTTGGGCAAGAGGGAATGACTGAAGTGCAGTGCGGGAAAGTGACATTCCAGTTCCAGTGCTCCTCAGACAGTACCAATGGAACTGGAGTACAAGGAGGACAAATACCTGAGCTCATTTTCTATGCATGATGCATTTCACCTTGATTGTGTTCCAGTACTGCAATGAGGAACACTAAGGGATTTTTCGATTTTACTACGAACTCTGCAGCAGTATGGAATGTTACGCTACTTACCTATCTGCTAAATCAGGCTATACAAATAAGTGAAGGAATGCTCTTAAATTTAATCTTATTTTATTTATTCATAAACTATTTGACTTAATAATTAAGACTGCAACAAGCAGAAAAATGTTAAATTTTGCACGTACTGTGCATTTATTTTGTATATAGATAACTAACTTGCAGACTGCAGCTGACTTAAACAGAATGTTCTAAACTAGAGCAGTTTACGAATCTGTGAAATATAAAATGTTTTTACTTGCCCTAAATGCTGTGTACCTGATTGTTACTGATCTTGTGACTTGTGTCTGTTAATTCACCTACAGTACAGTTAACAGGAGTGATAACTGTAGTCTGGTCCCCTGTGTGCACTTACACAGGGCATGAGCTATCGCTGCAAATAAGAATTTTCCTTTGCCTGGTAACTGAGACTCTCCAGCAGCAGCCTTCATTTTCCTGCATGAAAAAGGGAGCTGACATACGTGGCAGCTCAGGGTTTTTTGTGTGTTGCCTAAGCTGAAGAGAGACAAACCATGAGTCTAATCAAAGTTGATCAAAATCATCTTGCGGTTATATCTGAAAGCTTCTAATGCCCGTTCACACGCATCGGCAGCCTGCCCAGCAAAGGGCAGCGCTGACGCTTGCACCTGTCACACCGCACCCCACGTGAGTGGCCAGAGTCAAGACAGGCAGATGAAGAAGCTTAATGCAGTGACAGGCTTTATCACCCACAGATTTAGCCCGGAGCTGTGCCAGGGGCAGCCTCTGTCTTAATATATATCCCCTCCTCACGTTTAGGAGCAGACAGTAGAGAAATACTTGCAATAGGGTCTTTAAGTTCACTCAGAATTACTAACTAGAAATAGCCACTGTAAACAAAAGCTGCTGGATCTTTCCTCCCCCTCTTTTTTTTCTAAAAACGTAGTCCCATCCACTATCAGCAGTCATTTTGTAGCTAGTACCCTTAAACATCTACTTTTACCATTCTGAGAAAAGTTTTCTCAAGTGTCTTGACAATCATTACAGATGAGCCAATTAGAAACACTTTTGTCTTTTTATAAAACTCTCATAATGACATTGGAAAGAATATTCAAGCAGCAGTCTAAACCATTTTTTTTTCTATGTATAACAAGTACCTCTAAATTTAATTTAGAAAGGTTTTCTGTTTGCCCTTTTCTAAGCTGCATTAATTTTACCGTGAAACTAAGCTGCAATACAAATTCTGCTTGTTTTATCTCAAAAAAAAAGTAATGAAAAAGAAGGCAGCAACTGAATTACCGAAAACAAGAACTCTTTACCAGACATCAAGCTCTGCTAACAAAGCCAGCACGCCGCGCTGGCTGATAGCTGCGCGCTGCCACGTTCGCCGTTAGGACGATGCTCAGTATGCGAGCTGCTGGTTCTCTTGCTGCAAAAGGCAGCAGTTATGTGCCCAGCTGAGTGCATCTGAAAGGGTGCGTGTGTGTGGTGTTCCTGAACAACAAAGGCATCTGATTCTCTCAGTACAGATTAAGGAGAGTAGGAAAAGATACAGGAAGAAAATTCCTGCGCAGAGGTGGGTAACACTCACAAGACCTCTCTAAATGCGCTCTTTTAACTGGAATTGGCACGAATTCCCTTGTCTTAAAAGCTACAGCCTAGACTACAGCTTTTTTACCCTTTTAACAGGTTAAAACCTACCTTCCTATCACCGTGTTACGATTTCAGTGATAACTTACTAATTAAAAAGTTATTCACATGCTTGGGAAAAGTTGCCCCTCATTTTCCATAAGCCGGTTGTATTTCAAGTGTGCCGAACACCTCAGCGAGAGGTGATGGACACACAGTAAATCTGGCAAATACATATCAAAGGTTGCACCTCTCTGGAGTTGAAGTGTGACAGGCCCGCGTGAGCTTGCAGATCACACAAATCTGTTACGCATCAGCCCAGTGTCTTACCATAGCCTGAACTACTCTCACAAAAAGCAACAAAATGATTTGTAATAGAAAATAGCACCCAGCCCCCTAAAAGCTCTTACATAAAAGCAGAACAGGCTGTCATAGTCAGCAATGCTCTTCTTCCTGGATTGATTCCAGTTTCATTTTTAAGCTACCATTTTGGTATTTCACATACAATACTATGTATATATACACACACATAGATACTCTTGTCAAGTAACCATGCAGAAAATACACACAAATACTCAAAAGTCAACTCATAAAAAAAATACCTATGGCAGGAGCATTTATGCAGAGTTCTCTGGCCAACAGAAGGAAAGTTTTTCCCAGCACATAGACATTCACCTATTAAAAGACAAAAAAAACCCTTTAATCTTAAACCACAGGTGTTTTTAAGAGAACATTTATAAGGAAAGGAAAAAACACACCCAACTTTTGAAATCTTGAAACAACCTGCTTTAAAAAAATTCAATTGAAGTCATATAAGCGATATTCACAGGTACAGACTACTACCTAGTGCTTGTCAAAAGCTGCACAAATTAGCATTATAAATCAAAGCATAAGTTTATACTGAAAAAAATTTAAGAACCTGTTCATCATGCTCTTCAGTGGGCTCAGTGTTTCTCTGTAGTACTTGGACAATTTTTCAGCTGTCACCTCACATCTTAAAGCATTAAGTAGACTTCAATATAGTATCAGTATATATAAAATGTCCTTATCTTGTAAAGTAACAAAACCTGAGCAAATACTCGCAAGTCAGTGCAAATTTCAGCCCTGCATGGTCATGTGAAGTGGGACGATTAAGCATTGCACAAGCACACACCAAACTTTCCACCCAAGCAAGGCGTGGTGCTACATGCCCCAAGGGTTATTTGTCATTTCTTATTGTTTGGACGTTGCCCCAGATCACCCTGCGTTAAAAGAAGATCAATAAGCAAATTCAGACAAACCCTGAACCACACCAAACCCACTAAGGAGCCCGGGCCAGAGCCCTGCTCCCCTCCTGCACTCAGGAGGATGTAAACTCAGGGGAGGAGTTACTCCTCATACTCTGATTTGCAATTTATAGCATAGGCAACTACATTTGGATTTTTAAAGTCTGAGAAAGTATTCTTTCACTATCTTAAGATGTGTTTTTGTGGTCAGCAAGAAAGGCAGGATATACTTCAGTTCCCAATCAGCCCCACATTCCCACGAAGCTCCGTGAACACCTTGCTCCCCCAAGGCATATGTAAAGGTCAAAGTTAGTATAAAAAACTCCATCCTCCTACACTCCAAACAAATAGGGTTTTTTTTTAAAGATAGTATACTCTCTTTCCTATGCCAGGCTAGTGAAGGTGTTTACTAAGCAGTCAATTACACAACGGAGTTGTTGATTATGGTACAAGCCTATGGAAGTAAAAAAATCCTGTTACTAACTATATACTCTTTCAGTTTCACAAGCTTTCTTCCCAAGTGTATAGATGCTTCCATCATACTAGCAAAAATAAATATACATCTTTAAACAACAAGATACTGACAAATTTTCATCTAGCACTTCAAAATTTTTCTTTGTGTGAACATGTTCTTAATGTGAATTTTTCCTCAAATTTAAAAAAAATTTAAAAATATAAATTCAAAGAAATCCTGAGAATGATCATATATCCTGACAGTGACTGCCTAATCAAGCGTCCATGATATGATGGTAATTCGTTCCATATTTAGTGGAAAATGTTGAATATTTTCCATGCTGTGTCTGACCAATGGTTGGACTGGCATAGAAGATACAAATGTATAGTCTTTAATTTTGCTGTCCTTTTTTTCCTGAAATACCAGACAACACAGAAATACTATGCTATGGGAAGGAAGTTAACAAAATATGCCCTTTGAATAATAAGTATATTTCTTAGGAAATAAGTCACAGAATTTTATACAGAAAAATAAGCAGCTACTGCATCTGGCAATTCATACCAGACTCCGAGAGCATGTGACTTTCCGTGAGCCACAGAGCCAGAAAGGACATTACTACAGCAAAATAGCTGCACTGTTTCAGTTGGCTTTAGATGCTCTAGATTCATTGCAAGCTTGGAATGGCTTGTTTTGACCTTTTGTCTAAAAAATATTAACATAAAGAGTGGGGGTTTGGCTGTAGTTTCAGCCTTCTAAGTTGGCTGACCAAGTTCCTATAAATCTTAAACCTCATCACTTAGATCTTGTTCTGCAAGGACGATTTCACTGCACAGATCAATAAAGTTACTGCAGTGGAGCCAAGCACAGATGATGTTTCCATCAGAGGCTTCACAAACTCATCTAGTTCTTTCATTTTAGTCTAGAAAAAAAAAACCACTCAAATTCTGACAAGTATTTCTCCTTTTGGCTTTTTTTTTGTCACGACACCCAAATACTTGATGTTTGTCCCCGTCAAACCATGTCACTCTCCAAGAAACTCCTCCCAAGCAAACTTTCCATAAATGCAATCATCAAAGAACAAATAAATATGGAGAAGTATAAACAAGCAGGGTTTTTTTAGTGAAGTGCTAACAATCAAAGTGGGTGCCGAATTAAATCTAAAGCAAAGACATGCATAATAAAACCGCTCGATGCCTGTTTATCTTCCTCTCCTTGGCCTAACAAAGAGTCTCCAGATCCATGGTCTATTTGAGAAGTAATGTACTTCAATCTAACCTGCTTTTCTACTTCACCCGCATCATCAGTGTTTTATGACCAACTTCAAGGCGCAGGCAGTATATTTAAATACAATAATAAATTCAAATAGAAATGGTCCATCAGGGAATTTCTTTCTTTTCATCACAAGTGCATTTCTTTGCAGTTTCTAGTTACTACCAATTTAGAAAGCAAGCGTAATATAGAGTGGATTACATGCTCTCTATCGTTTTCCTCATGAAGCTCACACGTTTTTAATGCCCCGGTAAAGTCCCAAAAAGAATCAGGAACATTTAATTGCTTTCAGTTTTCCTGGCAAATCAGTAGGAGAAGAGAATTCAGGCCCTCTCAAACAAAATGCTTCTCATCTTTAAAAGTTACCAGATATTCACAGGTTCTGGGGCATTTCTCATAAATGGGAAATTAAAAACAGCATAAAGCTCACCCAGAAATCTGTAATGGCATTGAACTGCCGAAACACGGTATTTAAGAACTTCTGGTTTTAGTGGAAGGCAGCCCTGTCACTAAAATTTTATGCCACTATCACTAATTTCAGCTATTACTCACGCACACACACACATCCTGTGACAGAGGAGATATGACATATAACAGGCATCTAGATATAGTCTTTCTTTACTCTCATCATTTGTATGTTTTTTTACACTCCATTAAGCTTAGAAAATTAAGAGAATTAATTTAGAGGCCTACTTTCATTTCTAGTTCTTTCTTCATTAAGAGCTTCTTATAAAAATTCATATACTCCCATCCATCAAAAGCTTAATGCTCCAATTTTAGAACCATATGACATTTGCATTCATAAAACCTAATTTTATATGAGTCCTTAGAATGGTGAATAAACAAAAAAGCCCTTCTCAAAGGATGTCTCTGGCTTAGACTGGAACTGGTGCTGCTTCCAAGCTTACCGCATCAACTTCGGCCTCTTTTCCCCCTTCTTAAAAGGATCATACTGAAAAACAGTATTTTCCCAAACTCTCCCCAGTCAAAACCATCAAAGTGTAACAATTGCTTTCTAGACTTCCATAAGACACTTACTCGCTCTGTGTGTGTTTTGATCAGGTGTTAACATTTCCGAAACTTGGTGCAATCACTAGGTTTGAACATCAAAACCTAACACAGAGAGCGGTGTCAGCCTCTGTCAGAGGGGATATTCTCAAATATCTGCATACCCTGATAGCTTTTACTGTATTATTTTACATGCAGTTCACATTTAACACAATAAATGTACAAACATATGGACTCGCCACAGCAGGAAGACATCTTTCAGAGAAAGAGTACATGCTCACCAAGGCACTGGGAAAAAAGAAAAGCAACAAACAAACAAAAAAAACAACCCCAATGTTTTTACCCCTAAGTTTTTACAGTAGAACCTAAGATCCTGTAAGATGTTGTCCTTTACCAACAGTTAATTTCTGCTCTTGTTGCAGAAGACTTTATATTGGTTAAAAGGGGCATTTGGAGGAGGAGTGCCTTCCAGTTATTCAGTTATGTCTTTATAGAAAGATCCTTCTACTTGTTATACTCTTTGCCCTTCATGGTATTTTTTGGAGACACAGTCTTTTCATTTCACGTCTGTCAGTCATCAGATGCTGATTTCAAAGGGACACTTCCACAGGGACTCTTATCCTTTCATAATTTCCTCTTGCTTTCACATCATGCCTGATGTGTTCACAAACACGTCTACACTTCCACTTTTAGAAATAACAACAAAAACCTCCTTCCCAGTAACATGGGAATTCAGCTGTTCATCAGTCCAACAACTTTCAGAATTTAAACTCACTTTGGGAAACAGGGAGTCTCCCGTTCATACAGTTACCAGGTCAGTCTACGTTAGGGACAGTAGCAAAAAATAAAGCTGCAATCATCGAATGAAAGTTTTTGCTTGGCTGTAAGTTCCATAAATTTATAAATCAATACTCTTTCACTATGAGCAATTTCCAAAAAGGCTTTTCAAGACCATGGTGTGGCATTCCGGAAAAATATTACAAATGGTGACAGTGGTTAAGGTCTTCTGTCTTTTGGAAAAACAAAGACGGGGCAGTTGGAACGCAATGAGAATTCACACTGTGAAACATCCATGGCTGCTTGCCTAAATAATTAAGCAAGCATGAAAAGCAAATGAGTTTTTAAGGAGAGTGTCTGTTGCTGGGGAAAGAGGCACCTGTGGTTATTTGATTCATTATTAACATTTCTAGTATAGTAATGCCTGAAGGTCCCAACCAGGTTGTTTAAATTAACTCAATCAACACAGCAATTTGCATAGGGGCAATAAAGGCAAATGCAGTCAACATGTTAATAACTTTAAATGAACAAAGGGTATTAAAAACTGAAGCAAGTGAGTATATTTTTTTTAAAAAATACTCTATTTTACCCTTCTCCACACAATAAACTGAAACTTCTTATTTTTTGGATCCATACTGCAACCAGAACATTACATTTAACCTCAAAAGACAATACAAAAAACTACAAATATGTACCAAACCCAGCTTGTTAGACTGCACTTCAAAAAGCGACACAAATCAAAATCGAGCAGCTTCCTCTCATGCTATGCTTTAAAGCGTTGCCGTCAGTCTGGGGAGAGTCGCCTTTTGCTAATCACATATGCGGTAGTCCTAGCACTCTCCCTCCAACACCGCAGCACTACAATAAACCATTATCATACCATCTATGCAAGCAAGCCAAGGAATAATTTGTCACAAGCATAGAGGAATCAGGGAGGCCAATGCTGTCATTAGAAGAAATAAATAAAAACAAGTGTCCCAAAATAACTCTCCATAGAAATCCTTCTGGACAAGAAAGTATTGTTACTTGACTAGACAAATTGAAGAGAAAGAAATAGAGGGTGAGAGCTGTGTTTTGAAGTGGAAGAAAGACGGAAGGAGGACCAGATGAGGCAAATACTAGTTACTGATTTTCACTTCTTGTACATGCCCTTCTCTTATTTGGGATCGTAGTATAGTACAGGCTGGAATGGATCTTAGCAGCTCTCTAGCCCAACCTCCTGCTCAAAGCAGGGTCAGCTACGAGAACAGACCAGGTTGCTCAGGATCTTGAAGACCTCCATGGACGGAGACGTCAAAACTGACTGCTCTGAGCAACCTGTTCCAATGATCGCCTGGCCTTGTGGTGACAAACCTTTTCTTGATATCAAGTCAAAACATCTCATTTTAATTAATGATGTCTGTTGCTGCTAATGCTCCTGCTGCGCGCTCCTATGAGCTAATGCTCCTATGCTCTTTTCAGTAAGCATTAGCCTTATTTAACAGCAGGACACACCACAAGGCACAATAAAATTACATTCTACTAGGCTGAAAATTGGAGATCAAAGCACTGCCAACACCTCTTCCCAAAGTCTTTTATGATCACATGGCAAAGACCATGACACTGAAGATTACAAGAGACTCAAAGAGACATTGCTGTTTGCGAGGATGAGAGAGGCAGCATTTCACCACACCGAGATCAAAACTTTCACCAAATAGTTCTCCAGGTGCAAGGAACGGGGTGCTCCAAAACAGATGAGAAAACCTGAACTGTTCGAAAGTTGGGCCAAGGCTAGACAAGCTTCGCAACTCTCCTAAACAAGCAAGGCCTGCCACTTGGCTTGGACTAACAAAGAAGCAAACAAAAGGCCTGATTACAGACCTCTCTAAAGACTGTATTTGCAAGTAAAATGCAGTATCTGAAAATATAAGCAAGTACTTTCCCTGTCAGAGACTGCTGACTGATCGTCCTTCCAACTCAATCAACATGCAGCATGGCTCTGCTCCGCACAAGGAAGGAGCCTGATTTGCAGTAGTGGTCTGGACATTTTCAGTTCATTTCAGATAATGCTTTAAAGTCTAAATGGACCAGAGGCATACTGAATCTGACAACGCTTCCAACAGGAGGCTTCCAAGACATAGGATACTGTATTTTGCCTGAAGATAAAACGGGAGAAAAAATATCAAAGAAATTGCCTTTCCAATTAAAAAAAAATGGTAAAAAAAAGAAAGACATTGTGGCTTTTCCAAGATGACAGCAATTTTGAAGCTCCAAAAACTATTATGAAATGTAGCAGTTCTCCAGTGGAACAAGACAAACTCCCACATCTCAGTCATCAGCATAAGAGAGAAACTGATGTGATTTCTTAAACAGACTGCCATTAACAGTGAAAATTAGTCTCCTCTCTTGCTAAGCTTTAGCTACATAATACCATTCTAAAAGCATATTACACTATAAGGGAAAGCTTTTTAATTTTTTTATGGAGAATGGGGGACCAAAACCCAAAGCACCTCAGTAAAGACAGGAAGAGAGCTTGTACAAGAAGCACAGACCAGAGCCTTATGGGGACCTTATAAATGCTTATGTCTCAAGGGTGGGTGTCAGGAGGATGTGGCCAAACTCTTTTCAGTGGTGCCCAGCGACAGGACAAGGGGCAATGGGCACAAACTGAAGCACAGGAAGTTCCGTCTGAAGATGAGGAAGACCTTCTTCCCTCTGAGGGTGACAGAGCCCTGGAACAGGCTGCCCAGGGAGGTTGTGGAGTCTCCTTCTCTGGAGATACTCAAGACCCGCCTGGACAAGGTCCTGTGCAGCCTGCTGTAGGTGACCCTGCTTCGGCAGGGGGATTGGACTAGATGACCCACAGAGGTCCCTTCCAACCCCGAACATTCTGTGATTCTGTGAGCCTAAGAGGCCACGCTTACAAATTGCCCCACTTTTTTCTTTTTTTTTTTTTATAAAAAGCAAGCGAAACAGAACAACAAGAGTTAAAGAACACAAATATGATAAGTCACTAAACAAATACTGAGTTGCACATAACAGCAGATTAAAATCCTTTTCATATTACTCTTACTTTTAGCTACCACCTTTCGTACACTGTGAGCTACAGAGGGTGCTGGCTCTCGCAGCGCCGGCGAGGCGCTGGCTGAAGGCCACGGATGTGGAGGGTGCCGTAAGTGGGATGCAGAATGGCACAGCTAATATTGTTTCCAGCTGCAAGACGGCAAAAGGAAGCAACAGATGGCCTTTTCCACAGGCTTTCATTTATCCTTTTTGCTGGTAGCTGGAGTTGCAGAGCTTACTCTTGGTTTTGCTTTTAGGTGAAGCAATTCATGAAAGGTTGTTATGCTTTGTTTTCCCCCTCAAATGCACTGAAACCTATGTCAAGGTGTTCTGTAATTCAGTCAGTAGCCTCCATGAAGACACTCCACAAGGATGTCTCATTTGGTTAGCTTTCTGCAAAAGATTCCTGTGGTCAGATGATTCGCAGCCCTGCATGTCACTTCACCTCCCACAGCAACCGAGCTGCACCAAGCAGAAAATTCTGAAGAAAATTCTCAAAATTTTCTGTTAGTATCTAAACAAGAGCTGGTGAAGGTGAGCAGTAGCTCATTTGTTAGACTTTCAGATGTGATTTTTTTTTTTTTTGCTATAGAATTGACACCTTTCTCATTGTACCAAGAAAAACAGTTACCTGGACCAGTATGACATATTTTGTACAGATGAATGTGAACAAGTTAAATATTTCAGAAAGATAATGCCACTACTACTACTGCTAACAACCTCTCTTTTTCTTTATCGACATTCACAACCCAACTTTCGGATGGGAGATCTGTCCTTGGATAAAAGGGGCACTTCAAGGTGATACAGTGCCATCTAATGAACTAATGGCTTTTCTTGTTTAGCCATACAATCTGTGGGCAAAAGCCGATCTGAAGCAGAATGTACTGAAGTTTTCTGCCTGGGCCATAAACGTTTTGCTACCAAGCATTTTTTGATTTGTTTTATTTTTAAACAAACTCAGGGTGGGGGAGAAATCAAGCTAAGACCTGAAAAGCTCATTTATATGTTCTTAAACAGGACTTTCTGGTTAGCTACAGTTCACATAGCATTTAAGATTCCTGTTTGCTCAGATTCACCTTAAAGAAGCTATAAAGTAGAGCACATCAGAAGTCTTCACACAGTTAAATATATAAATACAGATTATGTTACTGAAATTTTGCATTTTTCCTCTTTCCAGGGTTGATTATTTCCCTAATCTATTTCTGTCTCTCATCTCTTCAGTTACCCCTTTTTAACCTTTTGGTCCTCATACGCCCCATCTTGACACCTTTTCTGTCTGGAACGTACAGAGGGGAAAAGACAAATCATTCGCTCTTTCTTGTCTGCTCCTGCTGACAATACATCCTTCTTTTCTTTTACAGATACAGCATCCTTCTTTTTCTTCTTCACATTGTGTGACTATTCTTGATATTACTGTGATCATTCTATTTCATAACAATCACCATGAAAAATCACCTGTGTTTAGAAGGGAATAAACCTTGCATTCTACACGTACAGTATTTGGCTATAAATAATCAAAATAATTCAGTAAGAGTTTAGAAAAGAGAAAAAAGTTATTAGTTTTAAGAATTAAAGATTCATTTGATTGTTGCAATTCCAGCAGATTGCTTCAAGCAATAAACAGTCTTCAGAGGGATGCCATTTACCAAGACAGCTGGGAGGACAAAAATAGATGCAACTAACCTACTCATATTGTATGTAAAACAGTTGTAACATGGAGAATGAGGGTAAGACAGCGTATGTCAGTAGAGCCTTCTATTTCCACATACAGAGCAAGTACATATTTCTCTCAAAATACGTTTTATAAAACACATCTCTGTAGTGCACTAATACATTTACATAGTACTACGTAACAAAAAAAGTTATTTCTGTCTTCAATGACTGTTATTTTAAAAATGTGTAGCATCTGACCTGGTGCCATTGCAGTGACTGAATCCTGATGAAAGGATCATACTAACTCTTGATAAGTTATTTGTAGCATTAAAAGCAAAAAATGTATTTGACATTTAATTTTACTGAACAATTACTCAGATTTGCAAACGCAGTGATCTTCCAATTCAGAATTTTTAGAGAGAAATTAAAACATCCCAGACAGCCCACTCTGACAGCTCCTTGCTTGCAATTTGTCTTAAACTTTAACAATTCAACAAAAGGTTGAAATAAAAAAAAGATACAATACCTGAAGAAGGTCACTGAGGTCAAGTAACATGTCTGTGAAGACGTCAAGGAATATACACGCTTATTGAATGTGACAGTATTAATATCATTAGCAACCAAAAAAAGGGAAGAAATAAACCCAGATTTAACCATCAAAGGAACCAAATACATACCAGGAACTTGGATACACCACTTCTGCTAACAGCCAGCAGCCAGCTAACAGTTCGCTCCCCAAAAAATCCTGCCAGCACCCGCTACATTTACTGCACAAGTTGTCTCTGTGGAGCGATGGTCTCAAAGCACAAGCCAACACCTTGTTGGACTTACAATACTCACCATATACTGCAGCCTAAGAAAGGCCCAATGATAATAATAGTAGCACAAGATAGAATACTCTTACTACACTTCATTTAAGAACATAAAGCATCATCAGTCTCCTATGCCAGCTTAGGAGCCCAGGATCCCAGAAAAACAGATGGAAGAGCAAACTAAAGAAATTGCAAAAAGTTTCTTGTCGTCTTTTATGAGGATCTCTCAAAGAGAGCCAGGAAATACATTGTCTTAACAGTATCTACAAAGAAAAAAACAAGCACCAGTAAGCTTAAGGTACAAAGGTAACCTTCTTGCTGCTGTCAAAGTAACAAACACAAGCTGGGTCTCCTGTCAGCTGCTCAGGTGCAGCTTACACATCGTAAAAGGGTTCCGGCTTTACCATTAAAAGGAGTGTCAAAGTAAAGTGTGAGAGAAGGGGAGAGAGAGAGACTGAGGCAGGCAAAGAAAACATGTATGAGGGGGTGTATGTGCGTTTGTGTATATAGCAACGTGTTCAGAAATCCCGATTTAAAAAAAATACAGGGACGTCAGTATAGTTTGGTACACCACCATAACACAAGTGTTAGGGTATGTTGTTCTTGAAGTATGCCAGAGTAATACAGTGCACGCTTCTCCTAAATTTTATCAGCCATGGAAGGAGAGTAATTCAGACAACGTAATCAGTTTATACATAAACATTCGCCTCACTAAGAATTTTTATCCTTGAGCATTTCTGTCCTTAGTTTGCATTTGAAATTGTATGAATTTAGTACTCCAAATTTGTTACAAAATTCAGTATATTATGTTAGTAGTATTTGGTGAACGTTAATTTTAGCATTAAAAACTACAGCCTAGCTACATATTTGATTAGCTGAAAACTCAGTATGTCTCAAAAAAATCCAAAATCCATTATAGATCATATTGCACAAGACATGAAGTAACCTTAAATTTTAATACAATAAGGAAATTGCTAACAAAAACAATCTGTAAAATATACAGCTTAGAAATCTACACAGAGCAATACTGTATTCAGTGCAACTTTTTCGTTAAAGTAGTGAGAAAGGAGAAAATGGAAAGACTTTAACAATGCAATTGCCAAGGAACCACAATAATTGTCAGCTCCTCAAACAGATCTAGGAAGAAATCACTACACCAATTTTATGCTTGAGAAATATTCCAGTTCTGAAAACGTTCCTAGCTCGTTACTGACTTGAAGTGTCTGGTTCTTCTATGCCCACCCTGAAACACCCTCACCACTGAGATAAACTATAATTATCACTCATATCTGACAAATTTTGTCACAATTTAGGAAAAAAAAAACCCCACCACCACACCCCAAAAGAAAAGCAGCTCGTAGATTATGGAGGCACCACAGTGAGCAATGGAGTGGTCCCAGCGCCTGTCTGCTGCCACTGCAGACAGAGGAGGGGTCAGAAAGAGAGCATCAGTGCCAGACGCCAATTCAGACCCTGGGTGAGCCAGAGAGCTGCTTTCCTAAACTCGGCATTTCAGTTACAGTCGTGAAATCTGTATACCAAAGTATTCTTCATCCTCCTCAAACTGTTAAAAACACTTTGGTGGAAGACCTAAAATTAGTAACACATTACAAGTGCTCAGGCTTTACTACCACAAGAAAAAAAACAAACACCTTTTTGTCCAAGTAAGAAGAAACAGAGAGCACTGCATGCATTTATAACGCCACAAGATTAGAGCTAAGGAGCTGGGAAATTCACTTGCAGGGTTCCGGCAGCTCTGAAGCAGTTCAGAGCTAGGCTATAGACGCTTTAACATACAGTTGCTTTGCTCCTTGGAGAAGTTGGTTCAAGTGTCCACTGAAATTGTAAGCAAAGGTCACAGTAAAAATGTGGCATTTCTGGATTTCATTTAAGGTAGCCTCCAGCAATCTCTCTCCCTGATTAGATTTGCAGCTGCCACAGCGAAGCCAAAGCGAAGGGGAAATTTGAGTCACGCAGTGGCAGTGGGCTGGCCTTTACTGTGAATATGGGGAGTGCGGGAGTTCGCTGGGGGCCATGGCAGGGCCATGGTGGGTGGTGGCGGTGGTGGCAGAGCCATGGCAGGCGTCCAGGAGAACATACAACACCAGCTGAAAACGGCAGATAATACTTCATATGTATTCAAAAATTACACAATCATAAGATAAATGTTTTCTTTGAGGCTGAAAGAAAACAATGACAATTTTACATATGGAGAGTGCTAGTACATGGAGAAGTTCTCAAAGGGATAGAAAGTTACTGATACTGTAGATACACAGGTACAAAATGACAGGACAAATGCAAGGGGACTTAGGCTATAAATGCACCCGACTTAAAATTAAAAAAAAGAAAAAGAAACAAGCATTAACAGTTTCAACTGCTTTTCCTTTGCTGCTGCTCCTTGACACTAATTTCACCAAGGTATGCAACTGACTATCCATCACCAGAAACTCTGAAATGAGATGAGTCTGAAGGCTTTACTTCAAAAAGATTTAATTCAAGGGAATCCTTTCACCAACGTGATGCAAGAGGTCAGACAGAGTGGCCAGAACGCTCCCTTTTCTGCCTTTATAATCTAGTAATCTGTGGATAATGTGAGAGCACCATGACTCACAGCAATAATGATCTCATTCTCAGCACCAGAGGAAACAAAAGTTCATGATGAAATGAATAGTACTGGAAACTTAAAACCCCAAATACCAAAACAAGCATGCATTTGTCCTTCAGATAGACCTACATGTTACATATTCCAGCAATCCTAAAGTACTGATATGCAGTGAAATGTCCTTGGTCTTCAATATTAACATTCAGCAGGAGGTAAAACTGCCATTTGCCAATATATAGAGATGCAAGAATAAATTGTGGAAGATGCTTTCAAAAGAACAACTGTCATTTACAACAGAGTCATTCCCCCTCCTAAAAGAACTTTTTTTAAATTAAATCTTTAGTTTAGTGTCTGAGAGTCTACAATAATCAGGAAACCTTCAAACAGATTATTTCATGCTACCATGTCAAAATTCTTCCACTACGTAGCATGTCATATTTGGGAGACACAGGTACACGCGTAAGCAGCACGGAGAAGCCAGAGTCTAGTTTATTTAGTTAGTTTTTGTAAGTTACCCTCAGAACTACTTTTTACTTATTTTTACAAGTTTACTGCAAAATCAGGCATACCACAGAAAGAGGAGTACTGCCAAGGAATCATGACTGCAAGCCACTCAGCAGAAATTTGACATCCATAAGAGCCGTGCTGTCCCCTAATGAAGCGTTACCTTTGTTCAGTCGAAGCTAAAATGCTTTCTGTTTCTAACAAAAACTAAAACCAGATCCATTAAATATATAAAATATTTAAACATAAGGTCTCTCTCTGTATTCAGCAAGAGCAATTCAGCTGGCTGCTAACAAAAAAGCAAAGCTTTATAGGAAATAGGACTGAAAAGCAAAAAAAATCTGAATATTAAACCAAATTTTTCTCAAGTTCTCAATGAAATAAAATATTTGCGATTTCAGTATTATGGTTCTGTATAAGCTACATAAGAGATGGGAACTTCCCAGAAGTACTTAAAATAACAAGCACATGGAGATAAGACAAAAGGGAGGGCGGACACAGACGTGGAGTGATACCAGGGTGAAAAACCAGTGACGGCATTTGGGTGGCCCTGAACCCAGTTTTCCACCTTTCAGTTCAACACGCAGTTCACAACCTTCCCTTTCCATATTTTCATACACCAAGTGATTCCTGACTGACTTATCACGATTATATCTCTGCTGCTTTACAAGCTTTCACCATTTTAATTAGCAATCAATTAAAACTGACAGCACTAATTGTTTAAAGTAAACATTTCTCTTCCCAACGACACTGAACTAAAACGATTAGAAAACAGTAACCAAAAACCAATTCTTCTGTAGAAAACTGATTTCTGATAACTCCAATGAACGCTTGGTCTTGAGGCTGCAATCCTGCAAAGACAGTTTCCAAAGTTTCTGAAGTTTGCAATTTTTTCTGTGCAAAGAAGTCCACATGGCACAGGCTGCACTCCTGTATACAAATAAAAACAGCATTTAACAAATCAAACGCCATTTTCATAAAAAGCTGTCTTACATGTAGATTCATGCATCAGCAAAAAAACCAACTGCACTGTAGTTTGTGGGGTTTTTTCCTTCTTTGCACACAGCTGCGCGTCTGTATTTCATAAAACTGTATTTTTCTATCTTCTCTATTCTAAAATCCCCAACTTAAGGACAAAAAGCAGTGCCGCTGCTTCTCCAGCAGCTCCCTTTCAGCACGTGCCACGTCCCTGCCTTCACAGGTCGGAGACCGTCAGCGGCAGAACTCGGCACCGTACAAGCACCGAGTCAGATCATCACGAGACGGCAGGCGTTTCGGGCTGCACTCAGCCTGCCCGATCTCACGGCGGTAGCTGCAAGGGTTGGAAGCGCAGCTTTCTGGCTCACCTAAGATCTGATTTCGCCTCTGACACCAGTTGTCCCCCCCCTCTGTCTCCAGTGACTGCAGACAAAATCTAGGGCAACTGAGCTGCTGACTGGCACCGCAGCCGGTCAGACTGGATGGATCCAGCGCCTGCGAGCGGCATTAACCTTCAGACTCCCCAATGCACGTAGAGTTCAGTCTTTACTAAATTAATGCTGCAGCTTTTCTTAATAATTGTCTTCAGAACCATTTCCATTTAGAGGAACATTTTCAAAGCGCGCCAGGCTAGCGAGCACTCGGTACGTTTGAAAACGCTG